GTGACAGCATGCGATGCAACAATACACAATCGAGACAAAAAACAACAAGAAAAAAACAGTCTAAGGTATTTAGTGAGGAATTATGTTCAATGATAGATAAACGAAATATGTATGTGCAACTGGGTAGCCATATTGAAGATATGTAAATAATTTACTTATCTAATTATAACAGAAACTCTGTTGAAATGTGTGAAGCTATATAAATAAATGAAAAACCACTTGAATACCAACATTTGAAATTGCTATTGTGCAAATTCGTAATCTAGACAAAAAATAGTTCAAACCACCATATCCTATTTCTCAATTCTTTCCCCTAACATGTTTCTGAATAAAAATGCTGTACACTTAAAACATCGTGTTATATATCTTAAACAGAACAGTACTAGTGAATGTAAATTTTTATATATAAGTATAATTCAAGACATCTAAATATTCAATTCTATTTTTTGGAAAGATATTAGAACAAAAGGTGCAGAGGCTCATTTATTTTTCATGATTTGTTAGCAATAATGTTGTTTTTATGCAAACACCAAGCTCATTTAATGAAACAAATGTGAGTTTGAACTTCTAGTGCATGATGAGTACGCCATAAACGAGGGGTTGATAATATTTATTTTACAATTTACAACTTTATTTATCTTATCTTATTTATCTTATGGGGGGAATAACAGATTGAATAATAAATAAAAAGCGACCTGTATTATAGTTCAGTCAGGTAATACAGTTCATGTCATTGTCCGATGTCAATGTACGTGCTGTATCAAGACTAGCAACGAGACAATATTCTACAAATAAACAAGTCATTGAAAATGTTTGAAAGTTCTCTTTGTGCTCATCATATTAAAGTGGAGCGTTGTCGCAAGGATGTCCTTGAAACTTAAGCCCCAAGTGGCGTATACAACAGATTGTTTATTCACATCAAATTCAACATGTGTCGGGTGAAGACCCCTCCGGTTTAAGACATAGCAAAGAAAAACATAGATCACAAGTGAAAGCATGTGCAAATTATCACAATTTAAACAAACAGGATGGCCGTCAGTCGGCCAAATTTGATCAAATTGCAAATTGAATTGACATGTACATGTATCCATTTATGACATGCTAAATATCAATGAAAATGATACATGACAGAGATATAGTAATATGGATACAAATAAAAATGGCCGTTATTCGGCCATCATTGATCTGATTATGAAACAAAGTGACATGTATGATATATGTCCAAAGACGAATAAAAATGGCACATAAATCTTTGAAATATAGTAGTAAGGCCAAAAAGTCAGATGGCTGTCAATCGGTCATCCTTGATCCGATTTTGAAACAAATTGTCATGGACATGTATCCTAATAGTTATAAACTATGTGCCAAATTTGAATGCAAACTGACAAAGCATGTAAGATACCACATTTAAAAAAAGAAGATGCCTGCCAGTCGGCCATCTTTGATCCAAATGCGAAAAAAATGTCATGGACATATATCCTAACATGTATAATCTATTTACCAAGTTTGAATGAAAACTGACAAAGCCTGTCCAAAGTAAAACATTTTCAAAAAACGAGATGGCTGCCAGTCGCCATTTTGAATCGTGTCGCTAAACCATTGCATGTGCATATGTCCCACATAAACTACTAGGCACATACAAAGAATGAACGGAATCGGTCCAAAGGATTGTGAGATATGACTCCGGACGGACGCACGCACGCACGCACGCACGGAAGGAAGCACGGACGGAGACCGAATTACTAGACTTTGTCCAAACGGGGACTAATAATATATTATTAGCTTTTACACAGTATTAGTTTAGTTTATAGTGTCCAGTCAATATTAGTGGCATGGTTTTAAATTAACACAGTACACAGGTATGACTGCTGTACGAACTATACCTAAAAGTGTCTTGCGCGCCTTGTCAATTAAAATATAATGATGAAAACTATTATAGAAAATGCCTACAATAAAACATGTAAAATTAGGTAATGTACCGATTATTACTCGCATTATCTACCACTACAGTCCGTTTCCAAAAGAGATGAAAGGATATACAAATGAATCACAAATCACAATAATGGAAATTTAAATCGACTTCTTATTCTTTCTTTTTTAAATTTTTTCGACTGTTTAGTGCATAGTTTTCCAGTGAAATTACAATGTTAATTTAAACTTATAGTACATGGTGAGTACACCATAAATTAGAGTTTGACAATATTTACTTTAGAATTTACAACTTATTTATCTTATGGACCAGAATAACCCCAACGATCGACGGTTTATGGCATTCTGTTTAAAGGTTACAAAATACTTATGACCAACTGTCTATGCAAATCACCTCCCACTGGATCGGCAACCAGTCAGAACTCGTGTCACAAAACTCTTCTATTAGCAAAATAGCTCATTTTAGTTAGACGCGCTCTAATAAGCGGTCGACCTATCCGATCAAATGCCAGTTGCCGAATGTGATTTCTATAGGTAGTTGGTAATATTTAGGTCGAGTCGTATACCTTGTGACTACAAACTAGTGACCATAAAAGCTATTAAAATCTCTGCCTAAATCACATTTCAATCCGAATGGTCATGGATTCAACACCGAAAAGTGTACCCGAGGCTACATCAGCGGGAAGTTGGAACATGGTGAGTGTCTCAAAATATTGCAAAGATCATATGCAACATATAGCGTTTGCGTCATTTACTGTAGCATATAATATGGTTTTCGTCTCTGGTTTTTAGCAAATTTATGTCGAGATTGAAAATCATAAATTTGAAATATACAAAATTGCTTAACCATCAAAACCAGGAACCATGTGCCTCACACAAGCTACATCAATGCCTAATTAAACAACATTCAATTTTTAAATGTAATAAAGTTAAATGAAGATGATCTACCACTTTGACTATTTAGGAATACTAGTTCAGGCAAACAAGAGCAAAAAAATCTTGTGTTCATGTAATATTTTAATTAACTTGTGATAGCATGGTGACCATTCTTGCATGAGTATAATGTCTTTTGAATTAATCAATGGGTCTAATGTTATGTTAATATGGCTATTCATGCGACTCCACCTGTTCTGTGTCTCCAGCTGTAAAATATTTGTCATAAATTTATTTACAGTAGTCGTCTGAGCCTTTACAGCGTGCGCACGATATTTACATACAAGCTCCCGCACCCGTTAGGCAAATACCGAGAGACTTTTTAACATATCCATACACATTCCTAGACACCCCAGTGAACGTTGTACGCGCAATAAAGTTTCATACCTGATCACGTAACAGTTAAAGTGAGGGAGTCGTCCATTGTTTACACACAAGCGTCTACCCATAAGCCTTTGCGTTTTATTGTGTATTGTTATCGACGCTTGGAACTCAATTTCCGTGCGTGCGCATGTGACGACCCTCCCGCTTAAATCAAAACACGAAACGCGGTATGCCTTTGATATGTCGCCACGTGAGACAAGGGGTATTTGCACTATTTCATTACTTTGTGGGTACAACAATCATTGCTTTGTAACAATTGGGAGAAATATAACACGAACATTAAAACTGAGAATGAATATTAAAAAGAAATGATAAATGGAAATGGTTGTTTGTTGTTTATACTTTCTAACAGACACTAAACTGAAGATGACAAATTAACCCTATCTTTCAAACATAATGGTGTTATTTTGGAGGTTGATCTCGTTATTATGTCAATGATTGTTGCTATACAGATTTGTGCTAACGATTAGTCTTAACATACGATTGGGTTTTAAATTAAAAACACATTATTGTAAATATGATCTCATAAGTTATTAAAGTCACTTGTAGACGTCAAGTACTATACAAAAAACTATAGAATGATGTATGGTGGTTGCCATATATGATGTACTCATTTTTCTCGAAGAACCTAGAAAGGGGTGTATGCAACTTTCCTTGATGGTGTTTTGAGTATATATCTCAGCTGTTTAGCTCTTGTAAATTGTTTTGCGGGTGACTGTTTAGTCAATTGTCGACGTATAGGTGTTGAAGGTTACATATTAAAATAACATATACGCTGATATTCCAATCAGACCTTCTATCTTGGCGATTTCCAGAGCTATCATATTCCGCGCAGATTCTTGAAATACACAGGCTTTTCAATGTCATGTTGTATTCATTGAACACTCAAATTCAGCAGCCTGAACACAATTACAATTCAATAAACTAATACGCTTCTTTTTTTGGAAGGATGATACAAAAGCTTCACACAAGATTCGAAATTACGGCATATCATTCGTCACTTTGATAGTTCTTATTATACTGATTGCGATATTAGTAATAGTCGTTATTGGTTATTGGAAATCAAGCGAGCTTTTGCCTTTTTTCCACGAGGTAGCGTTTGTGGTAATGTGTTACAATGACAATTGTACGTTGACGTGAAATATTGTATACATGAGCAATTGTACAATTTTCCATCATTCGGAATGTAGAAATACTGTTACTCATTGTTTTTGTGTCAACATTAATATTTCAACCTTTTCCGCGAGAAAATCTCCTCTTTTTCATTGTTAATTTTGCCAGATCTCGTGGAGCCTTGTCAGTGTCAAGGAGGAAACAACAACGCGTCAGGTATGGGGAGAAAACGGCAAAATAAAGTGTTGGTATTATAACATAAATACATTAATTTGAATATGTATATATTAAAAATGTCATAAAAATACAAAGCAGTCCATGGATACAATGGATGTTAAATATAAATCTCCTAATGATTTGAATATGTAGTTTAGTGTTTTCTTTTCTTCTTGTGGATTATTTCGTCAATTTGTTTTGTGCAATTGTGAATTGTCGTAATCCGACTTTTGTTTAAGGATATGCGGTTGGGTATGACATTCCCACCATCAACCTTAATATTATTACCATTTTTAGATAGATGAGTGAAAAGACAATGTAAGGTATCAAGATGAAATTAATACATACAACACTACGGGTAAGGATACACGAGTTGTGCTAAATTATAATTATTTGAATCAATACAATAGAGTACAAACAACCGCACATAGTTTTGCTACTATCCGAAGACCTTGGGTGGAATGACGTAGAATGGAACAACCCAGATCTCAAGATGCCGATTCTCAATCAACTCGCCGCTGATGGCGTTATATTCAATCAGACGTATGTCCAGCCTTCATGTACACCGTAAGTAATAACACTGTTACCAATGTAGTTATATTTTCTGGTCAACTGAAATATATCAATATGCATAACGGTATAAGATTTGATTTCAAATTTTTAGGTACATTCCCAGTTTCGGCAATTTGCTTCAATTCAACTACTAATGTATTGCTTCACACTTACAGCTAATTTAGTTTCTATGCGCAATTTACTGGTCTCATGTACATGCACATTTCATTCTTCAGATCAAGAAGTGCACTAATGACCGGATTATATCCGTTTAAAACCGGAAATCAGGTACTGAATTCTTTTATTGCAACGCAGATAGCATGGTAGTTATATAGTGCTTTACGTTCATCGATTTTCCACGTTTTATGATATATTAAAGTGTACGATGTGTAAAATCTATTCATATACAAATTTGGACACGGTTCTGTTATTTTGGGCCGTTTGGGCACAAAATAAATTTGAACAATATCATGATCTGATTGAATAAATATGATTAGTTTTTGTGACTTTATTTTACTTTCAGCATCGAATGCTGATCGCCCTTGAGCGTAGTGGGCTTCCATTAGAGTTTAAGTTATTACCAGAAAGTCTTAAAGATGTTGGATATCTAACATGCTCTCGGGAAGTAAGTATATAATGCATAAAACACTAGGTACTATATATGAAAAACATACTTGTGTACCAAATATCATATATTATTCACTTTTTTTCCAACTCCAATAGGCTAGAATAGAGTGGTGGCCACTCACAGAAAGTATGTGAATAATGCCTACTAGTGTTAAATACAATAAAAAATCCTTCATCTTTTTTTGCAGGTGGCATTTAGGATTTTGTAAGAAGGAGTATCTACCAACTAGCCGTGGCTTTGATTCGCATTATGGTCAAATTGGAGGTGGAGTTACACCTTGGACAAAAGAGACAACAAGCATGTTTGCACCAGGATGTAAGTTCAGTGAAGGGCGAGTAATGAAATAATTGGACTGAAAACATTGCTTTATTTACATCGAAGAATATGTGTTTATTATAATATATGCATGGTTATATACGATCATAAAGACAAGGGTTGGGTGATTTAGTTTAAAACCACAGTTATAGTTTGTATCAAAGTCGCGAAAGTGTATCTATATATTTATTATATCTATTTT